CAGTGATTTTCTGTAATTTTTTACAATTGATTCAGTAACAGTGATCCAGTTATCTGCTAATTGAGAGATTCAGCCTTGAGTGTGTACTGCTATTTTAAAAACCGCTTAAGAATGTGTAGTCAGTATGTGCCAGTGACAGGTTTTTTTGTTTGTTGTGACAAGGTCTCACTCTGTCACCAAGGCTAGAGTGCAGTGGTGTCATCATAGCACACTGCAACCTCCAACTCCAGGGTTCAAGCAATCCTCCTGCCTCAGCCTCCCAAATAGCAGGGACCATGGCACACACCACCATGCCCAGCTAATTTTTGTATTTTTTTTGTAGAAATGGGGTCTTGTGTTTGCTCAGGCTGATCTCAAGCTCCTGGCCTCAAGCAATCCTGCTGCCTTGGCCTCCCAAAGTGCTAGGCTTACAGGCATGAGCCACCATGCCCAGCCCAGTGATAGTATTTTATTAAGTAGGCTATGTTTATGGTTAATGCCTCTATATTCTAAGGTTTTAAAAATAAGCTGAATATTCATAGAGTTTTTGGATATTTCACAAGTGGACAGAAATAGAAAGCTTTTAGTTAAAACACATGGATTATAAATACAATTTCATTTTGTTGAAATTTCATTATTAGCCCCCAACAGTGTACAGCAGATACTGTAAGGGTCACAATCAATCAATATTAAATATAAAAGAAAGTTTATCATAGACCACAGTTACATAAAATTCTTTAGCAAATACAATAAAAGCCTGTACTTCATTAACTTTATATCTTCCTTTGTATGGTAGAATACATATCCATTGATTTAAAGTGGTTTATTTCCAAAGGAAGCATAGTCTTTTGTTCAGTAAAACTAAAACACATGTCTTACGGAAAGTTGTACCCAGCTAATCTACTTGTCTAATGTGACTTATCCTACCTGCTAATGTTAGCATGTACTGGAAATATTTAAATGACTATAATTCAATAATATATCTTTATTTAAAATCCTCCCCGTTTTTAAGCTTTAATAGGGAATGACACTGATATTCCCAACACTTAATCTTCCATGTATTCTTTCCCTCCTTGTTTAGCTTGAACATGCAAAAGTTACACAGACAGAGTTGATGCGTGAGTCATTTAGACAGAAACAAGAAGCAACAGAGTACCTTAAGTGCCAAGAAGAACTGCGAGAGCGCCTTCATGAAGAGTCCAGGGCCAGAGAACAACTGGCTGTGGAGCTTAGTAAGGCTGAGGGTGAGCACCTTTGTATCAGCAACTGAGAGTGGAGTAATTTCAGTCATAAGATAGAGATTTTGATGCACATCCAGGTTTGAAAGCTACCAATCTCCTCTAATTTAGCATGACCGTTGAAAAGTAGTTGTGCTTTCTCTTCAGAATTCCTGAAAGCAATTTTTAAAACTTTGTGTAGGTATGTATATATGAGGGCTGGCTGGAAAGTATCCAGCCATGTAGCTGTTCTCGTTATATTAACAATGGCCAATACTCCAGACAGCCCTTTTATTTTATATCGACACACATGTGCACAATAAGAATTTACAGAATTACAGAAAATATTAAAAATTTTAGGAAATACAGAAATGGATGGTAAGTTAGTTGTTACCATAATCCCACAATCGTAAAACAATTCTTGTACTTTAAAGATGAGGAAACTGAAGCTAAAAGGTGTTATTAAATTGTTTAAGGGCACCATTAAATGGTGATTTCAGGCTTTAAAGCTCTAAAGCCCTATGCTCTATTCCTCCCTGCTGTTGTACATATTGGTCTTCTAGAATTACTTAAAATACCAACCTCTCCAGTATATTTAAAATGTGATTCAGTTCACAAGCGCCTAATTTATATTAAGCTTTTTAGGAACCTGTATGTTTGTATCTGTTTAATAAAGTGAGTTATACCTATGTGATGTGATACTTTAGTATATAGCAAAGTGCTAGAAAGTTGAGAGAAATTTCATATTTACGCACAATGGTAAACAAGAAAAAGGCTGCGTTGAACATAACCATATTAAAGGTTAATAGTTGCTGCTACTCATAGCAAATTCATGGAAGATTTCAATAGGTTGGAATGATTTAACATTTTGCTAACAATAGACATTATTTATATTAAAACCTATTGGTTAAATTTGAAATGATTAATAATTCTATTCTTTGTTAATTTCATTTTATAGGTGTCATTGATGGCTATGCAGATGAAAAAACTCTTTTTGAAAGGCAAATCCAGGAAAAAACTGATATAATAGATCGTCTTGAGCAGGAGTTGTTATGTGCCAGTAATAGATTGCAAGAATTGGAAGCAGAGCAGCAGCAGATCCAAGAAGAAAGAGAATTATTGTCCAGACAAAAGGAGGCTATGAAAGCAGAGGCAGGTCCAGTTGAACAACGTATGTATTTTCAGAATTTTTATGAAACATTTGGCCAATTTTATTTATATTCTTTAAAAGTTCAAGGCAGCTG